AGATTAGCCCCATCAGCCCTTCACCCAGGCTCTGAATTGTCCATGAACAAAAACAAGCCCTCTCTTTATCCCATGGTGTCTCCTTCCAGTGACTGCCCCACTTCTCTGTTCCTCTGCACACTCAACATTTTCAAGTGTGATTTACACCCACTCTCTCCAGAGCTTCCCCTCCCAGGTAGTCATCAACCCACTTTAATCTGGCCATGGCCTTGCCCCCATGAAGGTGCTATTTTAAGGCAGTTGATCAGCTGCAGGAAGCCAAACCTACTGGTCGCATCTTTGGCCTCATTTTGCCTGACCTCCAGGCAGCACAGGTGCGTCTTGGCTCCATCTGCTCAATCACTTCCTTTGTTACCATATACAGCATGACCTTCGCTTGTTCCTTCTGCCTCATAGACCTTGCCTTTTTGTTTCCTTTTTGAACTCTTCTTGCCTGTCTCTTCCTTTCCCCGGTTTCTAATGTTGGCATGCCAAAGGCATATTCCTAGTTAATTTTTTCCCTCTTCTTTCCCCATCTCACCCTCCTTTATCTCAACTCCTTCAGTAGGTGGCTTTATCTATCCTGCAGCTTGCTCTATGTTAACCACTTTTATTTATTTATTTATTATTATTGTTTTTGCAGAACCGGGGATTGAACTCAGGCCCCTGCGCTTGCGCAGGAAGCGCTTATTCCACTGAACTGTCTCCCCGGCCTGTTAACCACTTTTAAATGTATACCTGTAGTAATGTCTCACCCAGTCATTCATAATTGCCTTCTTTCTTTCTTTCTTTCTTTCTTTCTTTCTTTCTTTCTTTCTTTCTTTCTTTCTTTCTTTCTTTCTTTTTTTCTGAACAGGGGATTGAACTCAGGCCCTTGCACTTGCCAAGCAAGCACTTATTCTACTGAGCTATCTCCCCAGCCCCCACATAATTGCCTTCTTGATTGCTTAGGTATCAAATTTAAAATATCCAGTTGAGATTTTCTAACACCCTATACTCCCTCCTCCAAATCATTAGTTTGTTTTTATCTTAGTAATAGCACCATACTGTTCACAGTTATTTGTAGTTTTTCTCTTGCTCTCACTTCCAATCATCCAGTTCATCAGCAAGTCCTATTCATTTTACCCTGAAAACACACCTCTTTCTTATTCTTAAATTACTTTTATTCTTTTCTTGATACAAGGTTTCATTATGCAGGTTAGCCTCATAGTGATCCTCCTGTCTCAGCCTCTCCAGCACTGGGATTATAGGCATGTGCCACCATGTCCAGTTTCTAGGCCAGCTTGGCATGTCCAGGGTTCCAGGGTTGGCATGGCATGCAGTACCAGGGAACATACCCAGGGCCTTGCACTTGCCAGGCAGGTACTTAGAGTGCTGAGTTATTTCTCCAGCCCCAAACCTCTCTCTTGACATCTCCTCTTCCATCTAGTTAAGCCTAGGTTACTACAACAGCCTTCACAATATTCTTCTATCTTTGCTTTTCAGTTCCTTCTCTACAGAAGAGCCAGGGTAATCTTTTTAAAATGTAAAGTAAAATGATGTCATTCCCTTGTGTAAAATCTACCAATGGCTTTACTTTGCTCATGGAGCAATAGCCAGCCTTTATCTGACCTGTTAGACTCCTGGCCTTCTTAATATTCCTTGAATACACCAACTCCTTCCTGCCTCTGGATCCCTGCACAGAATCCCTACATTTATATCCCTCACGACCTTTCTGCCTGGCATATTTGGAACTCTACCAGTTTTGTTTGTTTATTTTTATGTATTAGGTACATGGGCTCACTAGGCAGCCTAGGCTTGTAGTGATCCTCCTGTTTTCAGCCTCCCCAGGGCTGTAATTATAGGCATGCACCATCATGCCCAGTCTTGGTGGCCAGCTAAGAGCACCCAGGCGTGGGACCAGCACAGCGTGTGGCACTGGGGATCGAACCTGGGTCCTTGGGCTTGCATTTGTAGGCACTTAGACCTATCTCTGCTGCCCTCCTCCAGTTCTTCATGCGGTTGCTTTCCAGTCTCTGTACAAATGCCATTTGTGCACTAGAGGTTCTCTCTGACCACCTCCCCTATTGCATTCCTCTGTTCCCATCATTCCTAGTTATCTATCTCATCTCCACTCTATTTCCTTCACAACATGCATCACTGTTATCTTCCTTGTTTCTTAGTTTATTTTCTGCCTCATGAGGGCACTGACTCCATGAACTGTCAAACTTTCTTCTTAATAGTGTCCTGGAACCTAGAATGGTACTTATTAAACATTTAGGGAATGAATTGATAGACATGGTGGGAAACATGTTCTTAGAAAAAAATGCTTTCCTCAGAGGTTAATTTCAAATATTCTGTTGCACAAAACAGATATGTCAAGGATAAAATATCACATGACTTTTTAAGATAGATGACAGCAATCTTTTGCAGGCTGCTTAGGATGACTTCTGGGCAGAGATTGATCCATCTTTCTATTCACATAAAAATGTTGTTTGAAAAGATGAAGGGAAATTTATCTGGGACATCCATGTCAGCTGTGATCAGCATTTAACATAGTCTAGGCTTATTTTTTCTTTTTTTGGTACTGGAAATTGAACTCAGAACCTTGCACTTGCCAGGCAGGCGCTGTGCCACTGAGCTATATCCCTAGCCAGTCCAGACTTATTTAGATAAAAAGGAAGTAGCCCATATGTTGTAGTTTTATGTATCTCAGTAAGTGATATAGGACTCCTTCCAAACTTCCCTCTGAATTTGCCCTAGTTCAGCATCTATATCCTTTGGAATGCAATTCTTTGCTTCATAAAGTTTTTTTAGTTTTCCAAAATCTATTAAAATGTAGATACTTTTAAGAGATGTAAAACTATGAATTACCTGTTTTTCTCCAAGTAAGGTTAATATTATGAAATTCTTAAGCTGACAATGACATTAGTTACCAGGATTTACTTTGAAATTTATAGGTACCCAGGGGCAAAGGCTTGCAGGAATAGTTACAAGGAGAGGGGCATGGAAAGACCCCTGGAACCCTAAAGAGAAGCCAACTTCATCTCTAATTTTTTCCAAAAGCTACCTTCCTTTGACCCCAAGGCTCTGCCTGGGCCAGAACCCAGAAAGGGATAGGATACTTCTGAACTCATTCAAGGGTTGTCTGCTATAAACAGGATCGTTAGAGTCTTGAGAATGGAAGACAGTGAATGAGCTGGATTCATAGGCTTCAATTCCACCCTAAGGAGGGGACGGACTGGGGACATGCAGAGTCCTGACAGGCTCCTGGGGATCACTCAACAGCAGAGGGATTCCCACTTTGATTTCACATTTATAGGGTTGTGACTGAGTCCTGACAGCTCATCATCTTCTTCACGTGAAGCAACTGCTAGAACTTTTTAAAATGTAAAGTAAAATGATGTCATTCCCTTGTGTAAAATCTACCAATGGCTTTACTTTGCTCATGGAGCAATAGCCAGCCTTTATCTGACCTGTTAGACTCCTGGCCTTCTTAATATTCCTTGAATACACCAACTCCTTCCTACCTCTGGATCCCTGCACAGAATCCCTACATTTATATCCTTCAAGACCTTTCTGCCTGGCATATTTGGAACTCCACCAGTTTTGTTTGTTTGTCTGTTTTTATGTATTAGGTACAGGGTCTCACTAGGCAGCCTGGGCTTGTAGTGATCCTCCTGTTTTCAGCCTCCCCAGGGCTGGAATTATAGGCATGCACCATCATGCCCAGTCTTGGTGGCCAGCCAAGAGCACCCAGGTGTGGGACAGGCACAGCATGTGGTGCTGGGGATCGAACCTGGTTCCTTGGGCTTGCATTTGTAGGCACTTAGACCTATCTCTGCGGCCCTCCTCCAGTTCTTCATGCGGTTGCTTTCCAGTCTCTGTACAAATGCCACTTGTGCACTAGAGGTTCTCTCTGACTACCTCCCCTATTGCATTCCTCTGTTCCCATCATTCCTAGTTATCTATCTCATCTCCACTCTATTTCCTTCACAACGTGCATCACTGTTATCTTCCTTGTTTCTTAGTTTATTTTCTGCCTCATGAGGGCACTGACTCCATGAACTGTCAAACTTTCTTCTTAACAGTGTCCTGGAACCTAGAATGGTACTTATTAAACATTTAGGGAATGAATTGATAGACATGGTGGGAAACATGTTCTTAGAAAAAAATGCTTTCCTCAGAGGTTAATTTCAAATATTCTGTTGCACAAAACAGATATGTCAAGGATAAAATATCACATGACTTTTTAAGATAGATGACAGCAATCTTTTGCAGGCTGCTTAGGATGACTTCTGGGCAGAGATTGATCCATCTTTCTATTCACATAAAAATGTTGTTTGAAAAGATGAAGGGAAATTTATCTGGGACATCCATGTCAGCTGTGATCAGCATTTAACATAGTCTAGGCTTATTTTTTCTTTTTTTGGTACTGGAAATTGAACTCAGAACCTTGCACTTGCCAGGCAGGCACTGTGCCACTGAGCTATATCCCTGGCCAGTCTAGGCTTATTTAGATAAAAAGGAAGTAACCCATATGGTGTAGTTTTATGTATCTCAGTAAGTGATATAGGACTCCTTCCAAACTTCCCTCTGAATTTGCCCTAGTTCAGCATCTGTATCCTTTGGAACAGAATTCTTTGCTTCATAAAGTTTTTTTAATTTTCCAAAATCTATTAAAATGTAGATACCTTTAAGAGATGTAATACTGTGAATTACCTGGTTTTCTCCAAGTAAGGCTAATATTATGAAATTCTTAAGCTGACAATGACATTAGTTATCAGGATTTGCTTTGAAATTTATAGGTACCCAGGGGCAAAGCCTTACAGGAATAGTTACAAGGAGAGGGGCATGGAAAGACCCCCGAAACCCTAAAGAGAAGCCAACTTCATCTCTAATTTTTTCCAAAAGCTACCTTCCTTTGACCCCAAGGCTCTGCCTGGGCCAGAACCCACAAAGGGATAGGATACTTCTGAACTCATTCAAGGGTTGTCTGCTGTAAGCAGGATCCTTAGAGTCTTGAGAATGGAAGACAGTGAACGAGCTGGATTCATAGGCTTCAATTCCACCCTAAGGAGGGGACAGACTGGGGACATGCAGAGTCCTGACAGGCTCCTGGGGATCATTCAACAGCAGAGGGATTCCCACTTTGATTTCACATTTATAGGGTGGTGACTGAGTCCTGACAGCTCATCATCTTCTTCACATGAAGCAACTGCTAGAAGAAGCATGAGTAGGGACTAACTGGAAGACTTCACTACTAAATTTCCTAACCTCAACTGAATCACTCAGCACTGTATCTTTGAGGACACTTATCCTTGACCTTCTTGTGACACATAATTATTTTTAGCAGCTGGGTTTTTTTTCACCTTGGGTGATTCTGTTTAATATTAATGTCCTCTTGTTTTCAAGGTTTCTTTTCCTGGGTCTAATTTCCTGGCTTGGAATAAACCTGTATTTGTTACAACTGAGCGCTGATTTGCCATGGCTGAGAGATTGCTCAAGTTGTTTTTGCACTCCAAATAAGAATTTTATTGCATTTTAGAAGACATTGACTTCTTAAAAGGGAATTTCTCACTAAAATTGCATTGATAGCTTATTGCTGTGTTCCCAGCTCAGCTAGCTCTGAGAAGGCACCACTGTGACTTTTTCTTCCGCCTTGTATTAACATCAGCTAAAAAATCATTTTTATCCTATTCACTTCCTGTAAAAGAGATGATTTGGCCTTACGAAGAGATGATTTTAAGAAACTTAATTGGAAGCAAAATTGCTCTCTTATCGCAAGTCAGATATCCAAATGCCGATTCTGACAGCTTCACATATCTCTTTGCTTTTAATAATGTAATTTTAGGGGAAAAAATTGGAAGATACATGGTGACACAAATTCCAGCTGTTAATGCTGATCCCACCAGTGATGTCTGACATTCTTTGCTACATGTAAAACCAGTAAACAGGAGGGACGTGAGATCTCCAGGTGAGAGGAGAGGATCTTCTGATTTATCTCTGCTTTGCTTTGCTTTAACATGTTAATGGTTATAGTAAACATTTGGAATTTATACTAATCACCTATATTATATTTTGGCAGACAAATCAAATGAATCTTAAGTGTATAATTATTTTTGCCTATACACTTACAGACACATAGTTCACATCTCTGATAAATTCAGTAAGTAACTCAGGAAAGGAGCAATTGAAGCTAGACCAAGAAAAGTGGTTTCTTGTATAAACTTACCATGTTTCAAACAACTGTTCTGGTGCCATGGAGACAGAGCTATAGAAAAATTCCTAGGGTTTGCTAAACAAAGGGACTCTGAGAATAATAAAGAAAAGATATTCCTGAAAATGACCTCTGACAACAGTGTAGTGTAGTCTGAAGTGCTACCTACTTGATATGCTATACCTTTCTGCTCATGCACCCAAGAACACAGCTGAATAAATCAGATGAAAAAAAGTGGACAAAAGCCCAGGATGTACTCATTTTTATCAAGGTTTTATACCTTGAACAGCTGCTCGATTCCATAAGAGTAGTGCCATTGGATGCATCTTCTCTTTTTCAAGAATGTTAGCCTTTTCTAAAAAACAAAACAAAACAAACAAACAAACAAAAAAAAGGAAACATCTATTAAGAAAGCTTAAAATGCCTCTATAGTAAAGTCATATATGCATATGCATGTTTGGGGAATTTCAGAGAATTTTAACTTATCTTACTAGATTCCAAAATGAATGCTGAATTGCTTTGAGCTACTTCATACCCCATTTCTGCAAGCAGTGCATACTGAATGAGAGATGAATCTATATCACAATCCTTATAGGCAAAGTAAGCTGTCAGGAATCTCTCAGCCCAGTGGCCTAGTTCACAGACCCCTTTATAAAGCTGTACATGGGAAGAGAAATCAAGCAGACTAGTTAGCCAATATGCTTCATCCCATACCAGTGATCAATGAAATCAGTCTTCAGTGCTTGCTGCCTAGTCAGACAAGAATCTGAGGTTTAATATGCATGGCTTTTGCTAATTATTTAGAATGAAGAGTTAATATATTTTATAGGCACAAAGATTACAAGTCTATTTTTTTTTATCTTTAGTCAAACTTCTTCAGGTTTATTTTAAATTTGTATAAGAAACTTTTCCTGCTTGGAGGCTATTTGGCAGGACAAGAATGCATCATTGGCTTTGGGAGTTTTTTCCAAGGTCCTTTGTGGATATTGATGCTTTGCATGGGCAAGCTACAAGGCCACAGCTGATGTGGAAAGGAGAGAATGAAGGAAAGCCAGAGCCTGAGGGTATAGGTGACATAACCACAAGGGAGGTGTGCAAGTATCCGTGGGGACAAATGTCAACTTAGCTGAATAGCCCTTATGTAACCAAAAGAGGTTAGCCATACATAATTCATTAGGAAGTTGGCAAAGGAACAAATCTAAAGATAGATTATTAGCTGGAAGCTTTTGAAATGGATTTCAGAGGGACCAGATTGCAACATGGAGATATTTATATTGTTACAGCGGACATTTAATAAATCAATGAAGAGCATTAAGGTCCTAAAAGCATTCTCTTGAAAAGTACATTACTGGCTCAAGTTGAAAGAACCCACTTTTTCAATTGTCATTCAAATCATCCAAAACCTATAGTCCCTGCTTTTTCTGGAAGAAGTAGGTTACATTTTCTTGGCTAAATCCAGCCTTTCGTTTCTGAATAGTAATTGCCAGTCCTACTAGGAGTGCCAAATTGCCTTAATGATTTGATTGACAGCTGAAACAGAGATCCTTAACTGAATTCTGAGACAAGCTCTGAACGTGATGGAAAACCAAATGCAAAGGAGAAGGGATCATTTCATTTTCTCCTTTCCCCAATCTCAGTTACATCACTGTTTCTCCTCTCTGGTACATGTCAGTGTTCACATTGTCAATAGGTAGAAAACAGGTACAATAAAACCAAATGCCCAACAACTCAAGGACAGTATCATCTCCTCTGCAACAAATGAGAACTTTATAAACAGCTCAATATTTACCTCTACAGCAGTTGTGCATGATCTTAACACCCCCGTTCCTGTTGCATACATCTCGGCCAGATAATAAATTGCAAGGGGCTGCCCACTCTGAGATGCCAAGTAAAAATATTTGAAGGCAAGTTTATAATCCTTCCAAACTCCAGAGCCAGCTGAAAATTAAAATTGTTTTGAACCACCACTTATTTATTTTGCTTTGTGCATTGTAATCTATGGGTAGATGTAATAGTTATAGTGATGCTTGCTAGCTTAAATAGTGTGGTAACACTCAATCAGAAGTCAAATTCTGTTAAATTACTATTTGATAGTGAATGAGTAGAAGAGTTAGATTATATTTTAAATAAAAATATGAAAATATATGCTCTTAGATCATTTGGAAAACAAAGAACTGTTTAGTCTCATGGGAGCATCTTAATATGGTATAATATAAACTAATGAAAAAGAGGCCAAGTGCTTCTCTCTGAGGAGCAGAAGCTGTCCCACAGTCTTCTCACTATCCATGTCATCCTTCCATACAAGGACACCAGAATAGCTCATGCAGACAAGTAACAGAGCCTGAAGTAGGCAATTTCCAGCTCCAGGAAGACAAGTCTGACCCAGCTCATGCTTGGAGAAAGGAGAGGTGGGAACAGAGAATCAGCAGATTTCCAGCAACAGCAATTCTACTGGCTGTTAGTCCATGTTTTGAGTTGGGTACATCTAGACATTTTACTTGCAAAAGGTGAGAGCCTTCCCTAGGGTGTCTTTAAATTCCCTTCTAGCTCTAACATTCATGACCATTATGGGCAATGCCTAGTAGCAATTAAAACAAAAGCTATCAAAGTAGATTTTTAAAATTGAATCCCACAGCCACTACCCATTTGGTCTTGGACAAGATATCCAAACTCAGTTTGCTCATCTGTAAACTGTAGGGTACCCCCAGACATGTGGAATGGGCTAAATGAATTGAAATATGTGAAATTTAATGTACTATTGCTATTATTTATTCTAGAAGCCTGAAAAGCAGACAGGTCTGAGGCTGAGGACTTGACATGTACTAGGAACAAGGCCTCCATTCTGCATGAAAAGTAGGGCCTCCTGCTGAGCTACCACGGAAGATGCCAGATGACCTCTTGGCCAGATTTGACCTCCTTGGTCATTGCTTTCTTGGTTGCTCCAGTGATATGGCGAGACTATGTTTAGATCTCCTGGTCCTTGTTCAGGTCACCTCCTTTCCTGATCCCCAGGAAGTTTTACAAATGTTCATGGTTTTCTGTGACCTCCCCCATCCCATCCTTTCTCTATGTTCCCACAGGCAATTTTTTTTATCTACTTCATGGAAGAAAACTTTATACTGTCTTTTTTCACTTCTCTCTCCCTCCCTCCCCCTATCTATACTGTATTGTCTGTGTCTTTCTCCTGATCTTCAAGGATGAGAAATTCCACTTCTCTGTCAAGATAAAAAAGCTTCCACCTGTCTGGATCCTAATACTGCTGATATTTTTCCTCTTATCAATTATGCTTATGCCTGGGCCTGTCACTATCTAAAAACAAGGCATATTTCTTGCAAGGATTTTTTTTTTCTTTTTTCTTTCTTTCTTTTCTTTTCTTTTCTTTTTTTTTTTTTGTACTAGGGACTGGAGTTAGGCCATTGCATTGAATTTCATTCCCATATCTTTTTGAGACATGGTCTTTCTAAGTTACTAAGTTGTTAAGGGTGGTTTTGAACTTGTGATCCTCCTGCCTTAGCCTCCCAGAATGCTGAGATTACAGGCCTGTGCTCTCTCATGGATATTTTCCCACACCTACTTCCTCTCCTCTCATTCACACCCTAACCCACTGTCATCTGATTTCCACCCCAGCCAGCCCAGTACTATCAAAATTACCTGCTTTCCAAGCTTCTTCTAACCCCCCCTCTTACCAGACTTCTCACTGTATCTCCCAAGGCTGCTATTCACTAATTTATTCTTTCTGGAAAGCTCTTCCCTCTGCCTCTCTTTATATCTTTTTTGTTGTTGTTGCTGTTGTTCCTCTGGCCTTGCCTTTTCGCTCCTTCTTGGTGCTCAGCTTTCCTCTGCCTAGCCTCTCAGAATGGCATGGAAGAGCCCAGAATTCTCACCATTGCCCATTCCTCCTTCTCCTCATTCCCTTTTCTTGTTGTGTGTTCACTCACACCCGTAGGCCAATGTCTCCAGAATCTTTCTCTCCAATTTTGACATTTCTTCGAGTTTGCATGCTTGTTACCAGTTATGTACACTGACTATCACCAGGCCCAACTGAACCGCATCAATGATGAGCTTCCCGCATCGATACCACCTCGCCACCTCCCCCACTGATGTTCTTTTCTCTGGTCTTCCTTGAGTCAGATCAAACTGCTGCCTCAATATTCTTTTTCAAACCACTCACATTACCTTTGATTTTCATTATAAAAGAGGCAGATTCACTAATGTGTAGGTAATTCTAAATAAAGCATCATTATCTGTAATACCTACAGTAGTACATGAAGCCGAGATGGAACTGTGCATTGGGCCATCCTTTCTCTGCAGCTTTCTGAAAGTACTTCAGTGATTCAGCATAATTCTGGAAGATAATTGCACTCTTATTCATAGCTATATGTATAACTTCATGGTAACAATTACCTTTTATGATTTTTTTTAGAATATAGACAGTGCTTTATGTGATGCAGGCTAATTAGAATAGTGTCAGATATATAATACATTTGACTTTATTATGTTGGATATTACCAGAGAAGAATTATTTCATTGTAAATTATATATTTTTATACAGTGACAGTAGGTTTTTGTTGAATATCGGGGAAGGTCACTTGAAAGACAGATAAAGAAGATAAATTTCCCTATCAAAAAACCTTCAGGGGACAGATATTTCCAAGGCTATTTAGAATCTAAGATTCTAACCTATAATTAGAGTTGCTATTCTTGTCACGGGCTTGTTCTTCTATGTCTCTTTGGCAAACAAAGATTTCACTGAATTATTTTATTCTCTATTATCAAATATAACAGTTCTGCCAACCAAATGATAGGGACTAATTCCTACGAATTAATGAGTGATCATGAATTTTACTCTATAAATTGCCAGAAGT